CAAAGGACCTAGCAGGTTCTTCACAGTTGGTTTAAAGGAACTACAATCCAGACTACAGGTAAGCCCTAAACTAGCTACTAGGTGTAGTGTCTCGGGGGAAGATCCTTCCAAGCTGCCAAACCAGGAGGGCCCATGTCTACCACTATTGCGGACTTTGGCCCCCCGAAATGCTAAAGATGGTTTTTTGGTGCCTAATTCCACAGTGCTGGTATAGCTGGGCCCTCTCCGAGAAAACACCCAAAACTCAAGGGCAAAGCTGTGCTGCTGCTGCTGCTGTTGCTGCTNNTAGGGTGGAGGGTTTAGGGCTCAGGGCCTTTAGTTTTGTTTGTTTTTATGCTAGGTAGGGTTGGTACCACCTGTACCTGTTTTCGGAACTACTAACACACTGGGTGACAAGTTCGGCTCTGCTGCCTCCCAATCGTCGAGCTCTGCATGCCAGCCGTCTCCAGCTCTGCAGAGTAGCTTGGACCTGGCGCAGTGGCCCCGGCTGGGTTAGGGTTGAGGGTTTAGGGTTTTGGGTTTAGGGTTTAGGGTTTAGGGTTTAGGGTGGATCATCGAATCTTCGCGCGAGCTTCACAAAATACTGTTGTTGTGGCAACACCTCCGTGGTTGACTTTACTCAACTGCACGCACAGATTCCACTGTGAATGCCGCTTCCAAAACAAACGTTCCAGCAGCTAACGGCTAGTAGTGGAGATCTGCCAGTGCTACCTGTGCGCTTCAAACTTCGAAAATTGGCAGTAGCTTCGTTTCTTACCACAGCACATCTGGTGGCGACTACCATGACCCGAACTATTGGAGTTTGTCGAGTTGCTTGTCCCTAGAGCACTTTTTGGCAATGCTGCGGTGCCAGAAGTTGTCATTTGCGTTGTTACACTGCAAGGCCACTGTGCTCTTGTGGATGCCGCTGCGAAGTTCACAATCATTGACATTGGTGCTGATGCAACTGCTGTCAAACTTTAATCAAAACAGCGCTGCTTCTAAACAAGGCCCCTTTCAAGCGCTACTTCTCATAGCAAGCTCTCGCTTCAAACCTGGAGCGCTGATTCTGAACTTATCGCTCTGCTTTTGTAACCTTAAATTACCAAACCGTTAACCCTAACGATAGCAGCCCACGACCAACATATGGAAAACAACCCCTACGCTTGAAGCCCCAAACCCTACCAGGCGCACACGACTTCGACCAACTTCACTGCGCCAACGCCATCCTCAACTAGCTGCCATCATCCACGTGGGGTTTAGGGTTTAGGGACTTAACTTCATCCCTACATGTAGCCCGAAAACCTACTTTCTCAGCTTCCACATATGTGTATTTTCTGAGGTTCATTGAAAGCTAGGCTGTAGACTCCATGTACATACCTCATACTCGTACATTGACTCAAAAAAATCTACAGTACGACTTGCCCCAAAACGCCAATATCCATATTGGGTCGTTCGGAACCTTAGGGTGAGTCGTGAGGTTTCTGATGTGCTCCGTGGCTTTCCTGTTTAGGTTTTGAAGCAAAAGCCCTTTGAAAGCCACTCCTCGGGGGCTTCCGAGTTTGTTGACCGTTTTCGTTGAAGCCGTCTCTGCCGACTTCAGCTTCTTCGAGCTGTTGGCACTGATAGAAACGCTTAACCCTAAGCCCGGAAGCACTAAACTGTTCAGCTTCGCTTGCCGGGCCGCGAACTGGTTGCTTCCCCCGAAGAGTCCCAAAGACTCAATATTCAGGTATTGGGGTGTGGGGTAGTAGTTAATGTAGGCCAGAGAGGACTCAATACTTAGATAGTCGGGTGGGGAATGGTAGTAATGTAGATTATGTGTAGTATTTGGGGGTTGGGAAGTGATGATCAGTATACAGGTACTGGCTCGGGGTTTACACGGGTTCCTAGCATTGCAGGATTTGTGGGGTTGAGCTTTTTTGTTGTGAGGTTCTTTCAAGGGTTGGCCTTTCACTGTGAAGCGTAACTATATAGCTTAGGGCATAAGGCTTCTGAACCCCACGCTCAACAGTAGTAGGCCCACTTAGTAGGCCCCTAGATAACCCTGAACCTTGAAGCAGTCCTTTGCAGATTTTCCGAAAAGGAAGACCGGATCCACCTCAGTGTCCCCATGTCATCAGGGTGCGCAGGGTTTCGGGCTTCGGGTTGGGGTTTAGGGTGGGCTTTCCCTTTAAGGCTCTAAGTACTTGTATTTGAAGGCTTTTGGGCCGAAAGACCATACTATATATGGCTTTTGGGCATTTTGAGCCTCAGGGTTTGGTATGATTTGGAGCGTGGGTTGAAGGTTTCGGATGACTTCCTACCCCGTTGCAACCCTTGCTCTTGAGGGCACCATCTTGGGATTATATAAGTCGCTTCTATCACAACCCTGAGCAAACAAGGGCTTTTGGCATCTGATCATGTCCTGGCTGTAGCTCTACACCTTATAGTCTTATAGCTCTACACCGTACGTGGACTCTCCAATGTGGTTCTTGTTGCGGCTTTGCGATAACATTCTGCTGAGAATGACTCGGAGTGACTACTTGAACACTGGAGGGTTCGGGTAAACTCTAAACCCTAAGCTACATCCCAGACCCGGACCCTCATCCTAAACTCAACCCTAAACCCTAAACCCTAAACCCTAAACCCTAAACCCTAAACCCTAAACCCTAAACCCTTCCCTAAATCCTAAACCCGGCGACCCTAAGGGCAGCTTGCCTCTTATGGCGCAGGAAAAGGTAGGCTAAGAAACTCAGGCTCCAGATTTTGGGCTGGGATGAGTAGAGGCGGTTCAAGGCTACTTAAAGGATCATGGGACTTAGTAAGTAAGGCTATAAGTCCCTTAATTGGGGTTAGAAGTATAGTTACCTTAGTTATAACCCTACTTACTAAGTCCCATGATCCTTTAAGTAGGGAACCCTGATCTCTTTGCAGCTTTATAGTTTTATGGTGTCGGTTGGGTCTTTGGGGGGTTTAGGGCTTTGGGGGAGCTTAGGAAGAGCCTAGGATTTCGAGGTGTAGAGCGTAGGTCTAAGGGCTTAGGATACAGGGTTTGAGGTTTGGGGTGTCGGATGCTTACAAAACGAACACTTCAAGCAGGTAAACGCTGAAACATGATATAGCTGCCGGGACCAACGAAAGCAATAGTAGCAGCCCAACACTTGGAAACCCGATAGCCTAAGAGCAATGCATAGAGAATCCCAACACATTATGTCCTTAATCCGGTTTCCAACTTTTTGTGGTTTACTTTATTCGCTTCAATTGAGTTCTTGTAGAGCTCTTGATCCCGAAATAAGCTAAAGGTTTCCTCCTGAGGTCATGGCGGTAGGGCTTTGGGTTTAGGGTTTAGGGGTTTAGGGGTTTTAGGGCTTGGGGTTTGGGGCTACGCAGGAATATGTGACCAAGGAGCCGTCCGGAGAACAACCCCCTCGCAAATAAGGATGAAGTCCAACACTAGCCGCGCCATTCCTGCATAACGCGCTTCAGGATTTAATGCAAATCCTTAACCGGAATTTCCCTGAGCCCTCAGCTTGCCGAAACTCAAACCTACAGTAAATTTCCTCGAAACTCTGTAGAATCTAAACCCTAAACCCTAAACCCTCCTGGCCAGGGCTTAGGGTTTGGGGTTCGGTCACATGTTAAGTCACGTGAGATGCGCTGAAAGCCAGGCTATTTAAGATCGCAAGCCTCACAGGGGTCGAAGCCTTTGCATTCTTCGCCACAACAGGGTTTAGGGTTTAGGGTTTAGGGTTTAGGGTTTAGGCCACGACAAGCAACATCATCAACCGCGGCAGCAGCAGGGGAATGAACACAAAGGATTCGCAGCGGACAAGCGATAACATCAGATCCGTTACAATAGTGTCACATCATGTGCAGTCCGGAAGAAGCTTGCAGAAAAAACGGATTGGACGAAATTCGAAGGTTCTCTGTTTTGCGACCCGAGCTGTCCTACGTCCTACCGCTTCACAAAACAAATCAAGATTCCTGAACTTTCCGCCCTGAAAACCCTCGGATGGGTTAAGGGTGTACAAGGTTTACGAAACCTCGCACAAGACAAAGACATGTTCCGTGATCACAAGAAAATTGGGAGGAAACCTGTGAAGTCGGGTTGTGTATGAACCCTACTTCATGCAGACTGGGCGAAAAACCAGTCATATTTCAGATTCCTTCCCATGTCTTCCTGCTATGCTCGTCAAGAAAAGGGTAGGTATTTGGGGAAGTAGGACTAGACCCTAAGGCGCTCTGAACAAGATCCGGGCTGCGGCTGTTCGCATCGTCAAAGGGATGAAAGAAACACCTCAGATTCAGGATCGGGAGCCCCTGGTGACTTTCAAGGCTCCAGGGCTTAGGGGCACGGGCATTTAGTTTCTTTCTTCAACTACAGGGCTTTTGGGTGCAAGAGCTTTAGGGTTTAGGAGATCAGCTGCATATGCTTCGATTTAGGGTTGAAGTTTGAAGCATATTTCGAAGCGGTATAGTATAGTATGGCATGAAGAAGCCCAAACGTTCTGCGGTAGGGATTGGGGCAAGCTACCAATATCCTGCTATTCAGCTGTGATGCACAGACACCAAATTGCAAGTGTTCTACGACGGGACTCGGGAACTGCACAAACAACCTGGACCCGAAAGAACCTACCTTCTTAGGGTTCCTTATATTATGAAGTCATTATATAAGTCCTTCAAAAGGTCGGTTATTTGGGGTTAAGGAAGATCCAGCTTTTTCAGTGGAATGCTTCAGAACCACGATTATACGTATTCCTGCAGAAATTTCCCTGAAAGTTCAAGTGCACGAATCAGGAGCTTCGATACCTGAAGCCATTGACAGCATAGTGTTATGGGTCCGAACCCTGCAATTTGGTACATGCACTAGTTGAGGTGACGTTTGCACTTGCGCGTTTTGGCGCAGACACACGCTGTCTGTCTGCCTAGGACGTGCTCTGCTTAGGTTCTCTCTTGCTCGAAAACCCTGCCACTCTTATGGCCGCGTGGAATTGGGTGTCACTGAATGCATCGCGGCACACATCCAGATAGGCACGTGCAGCGCGCAGTGCGAGCGGCTTGCTTTGATCGTTGGCTTCCTCCAGAAGTGCCTTAAACCTGCAGTCAAGAGAGGTTCAAAGCGTTCCTTCATGTTGTCAGCCTTTAGGTTCAGGGTTCGGGCTATCCGACTATCCCTGGCCTTGTAAAAGCCTTATGGAATGATCCCGTTTAGTCCGGAGCGTTTGATCTTTGGCAGACACCCGCTGCAGGAACCCCAAGCGAACTAGGAGGATCCCACTTGAAACCTCCCAAGAAGGTCCTACCGATGTGTCTGAAAGAGCAACAACTGCCGTATTCATCGACCTGACAAGCACAATGCGTAGGCAACAACTTTCAGTATCGGCGTGAAGTCGTTTCAGCCTGCAACATGGCGTAGACTTGAATTACTGATGTTCATGGCGGCGATTGTGATGTAGATCATGACAACCCAAAGCAAAGCTGAAGTCTTTTCGGCTGCAAGCTATGATCATGACGAAGCTGCCCCCGAACTTCAGCAGTTCACAGAGCCCGTACAGCCAGTATATAGTTACTATACAGCTTATCAGCTGTATCTATATATATATATATATATGGAGCATATATATATATATATATATATACCTAGGGATTCCGGGGACTAAAATTTTAGGCGTTGATTGAAACAACTATAATTTTAGGCGTTGCATCAGATTTTAGGCGTTGTTGATAATTTACGCTTTTTGGGTTTGGGGTGGGCTGGGATGATGTTGGCTTGAGACTGTAGCTCTCTTGAGGCCCCAGACTGGAATGCTCCGAGTTTGCAAACTATATCCCATGATCTTCCAAATAAGAAGCTCCCAAAACACTTCCTCAAACCTAATACCCCAGTTAAGGTATCTACCCTATATCCCCGTAAAGATAGCCGATTTGTGCGCCTGCATGTGCTCCATCTTCGACCACCGGCATTTATGCCGGGAGCCTAGCTGCTCCTTCCACGCTTTTTGCGTGGCTTCAGATCTAAGCCCCCCTTCTTGTAGCGTTTATGCAGCGCATGTCCTTTAATTAAGTATAATTCAAGCACCCTTCGCATCATGTTTCGCTGGTGCATCTTGCGTCCCATACGGCATACCCTGCCAATAAAGTCTTCGTTCATCTCACAATTGGCCAGAAGAATTGAAGGAACCTTCTTCAAGCCTCGTTGCAGGTCCATTCGAAGGGAGTGTGTTTGGTGATGGAGCATGTGAAGTTTCGGCTTGATGGCATATGCCGAAAGCTTGTACTTGTGCAAACACACCCAGGCCAAAAAACCATATGTCCGTATGAACGTAGATCCAAGCTGCAAGCTCGTCTGTGCACATGTCCTCGACCACCACATGCCGTGATTGTACATGTGCTTGAGCCATTGGTTTGCAGCCTTCGCAGCAACATATATGGCCTCCAAAGCTGCACGATCACTCTCCTTCCGCAGGTCTTGCTCACACGCTTTTGTCAGAACCAACATCCACTGAATGAGGAGAACGGAATCGGAGCCTTTGCACTTGGCCCATCCATAGTGTTTCCGGGTGGGGATATTAAAAAAAGCCTTAGTGAAACCCTGAAGATTCGCACACTTCCCCTGGGTGGCACACCACAGCTTGAAATGGCCGTGCATCCTCTGCAGGATTGTAGGACGAGAGTTGTTGATGTGGCTCTCCCCCTCGTGGAAATAGCCCAGCTCTGATATCAACACAATAGATCCAGCAATAAAATCTTGAAGAACTCCCACCTTCAAGTTGTGGAAGATGTCTCGCCGCAGTACGGCTTCAGGTTGGGATGGATCGTATGGTGCCAAAGTTAAGCCAGTGGCCGGCTCCTGAGCCCATGGTCGTACTGTGTATGTCGAGGCTGCCCAAGCAGGATTATCAGACAGATCTTCGAATGGCATAGTTGTGCTGCCTGCAAGGCATTCGTGGCAGCACATTTCGTCCTTGACTTTACTCAGCCTCGTGAAGCAGCGCTCCAAACCAGCAAGCTTAAGGTACCATGCCATATCTCCTTTGCAGCCGATCAGGGCTACATGCCAAAGGTGATGACCAACCTGTAATCCTTCGAAAAACAAAGATCGTAGCTCTGAAAAGATGACACGAAGTAATCCAGAAAGAACCCCATCCTTTTTGTACAGCTTGTTGGGCATCAAGAAAAGGAGGAACTTCGTAAGGAAGGCATGATATTTCAAGTTCACAGATTGCCAGGCACATGGCGTGTCATCCAGGTTGCTCGGGTCACAGCAGGGCCAATCACAAGGAGTTTCCTCGTTCTTGGTTTGCAGTCCGAAGGGAGTTTCGATTGAGCACACTGCAATGTTTCCCTTGCGAACTCCCCTTCCCTCATCTCCATGCAGCAGCATCGGCAGCGTGAAGCTTAAATCCAAATCCGATTCACGACTTTGTCGAAAAACTTCGTGTGTAGGGTGCCACTCCTTGTAGCAACTCCAGAAGCTGCCCAGGAGCTTTCTGATCTTGGGGATGTTGTCGTAGCCACCAAACAACAACTCGGGCTTCTTGCTTATCAGGTGGGAAAGAATGTCTCGAGGGGCTAAGAATGGAACACTGGTTTCATCATCATACTGATACGAAGAAATATCTATTGGCCATCGCAAGCCCCATCGACGAACAAATCTCTCGGCTGTCCTGAAAGCGTTGCCCTGCGAAGCCTCCGGACTCAGGTCCCACGCTTCCTCCGATGCCCTCGCTGCCAAGGACTGCAAAGTCGTAGCCGGGACCTGGGCTTAATTTGAATTCGGGGAATTCAGACTCACGTGTATTTAGAATTATAGGCGTGTAGTTGAGGAGCGGACACAATCAGCCAATGCTTCCGCATATGCAGCAGCACGGGATCCGGTAGCTGGTTGGGGATCTAGTCGGTCTTCCCCTGGCAGTTTGATTATATAGTACATTAAAGCAAACTATACGTACAGCTGCATCTGCATCTATCGGGCATGGGTTAGCACGCCATTTTGCGCGCGTGTCTGCACAGCAGAAGCCCTGCATCCTCGATGAGGCATCCATCGATCTCTAGCTTAATTAGGGCCCACTCCAAATCAAATATGAGAGCGTATATTTGGCTAGCTCTAGAAAAAATATATCTAGGAGTACAGCCCGTCCCTAAGATCACATGCCCTCACAGCAGCTGTGCGCACTATCTTTAGTGCGAAAAGCACGTGCTCGGAGCAGCACCTGATATACCGAAACCTCAGACAAGAGCACTGGTTTCAGTGCCAAAAACAGATCATGTCGTAGCATAATCACTTCCGTGGCCGCTTCGCACTGGCAGGAGTCTTGCAAGGCGTGTCCACTCGCTTCGGGCCCGCCTTAGCCTTAGCCTTGGCCTTTCCTTTGGCTGCGGCTTTCACGGCAGCCCTCTTCGGGGTTGCTTTGGTTTTCGGCGCACCGACAAGTTTCGGCAAGAACGGCCTGTGTGGCATTCAGGGATGGAGAGGATCGATAGCTATAGGCAGGAATTGACGCGACAGAGACATATAGTGACACAGTGACAGAGAGAGACATAGAGACAGAGATAGAGAGATGTAGAGAGAAAGAGGAACAGGGGCTTCTCGGCACTGATACACAGAGTCACTCATTCCTGTCTTAAAAACCAGCAAAAAGCCCATGCACATGCTAGGCCTTGATCTGGTCTCCAGGCCCAAAGATTCCGTCGCCCTAAGTCGCACGTGCTCCGTTACAAGACCCTACAGCAGATTTCTTTAGACATGCATGTACATCTGGATTCGAAGGGTCTGGGGCTTCAGCTCAGACATGCACTCGGCAACGAGGACCTTGGCCTCTGCCCGCATCCTCAGTTGGGGGATTGTTTCAGGCTAGATTTCTACAAATCATCAGAGGAACCGGAAACCTTAATTTACATTACATCATATTTAATATCACCCTATATAGCGGCTAAACCCATCGAAAAAAAGGATGCTTCGCAAGACGAATGGCTCTTTGTTCATCCCCTTGACCACACTACCACTGTAGAGGTTGGAGATCTTTCGATTCACCGCATTCAGGTTGTGCAGGTTCTTGGAGATGGCATCAGCAAACCTTGTACTGCATTTGTGCCTACAATTAAAGACTATATGTGGATATATTTCATATAATCAAGCAAGAACTTTAATCACATATGTGGCTAGTGGCTCCGATTGCGTCTTCTCAAGTTTTACCCCAGCCTTTCTCGGATCCTCGAACCTATCCGACAAGGCCTGCACCTTCTTGATGCGCTTCACCATGGAGGCCCTAGGTTTGGCATGGTGTGGGTTCCCGTATAACAATTCGATCTGGGGATGAAGGAATTTTAATTGCTATAGACTAGTAGGCCGGGGTATGTATTCGTGCACGACTACCGGAGAGGCTTTAATTGCACCCCATATCAGTGCAGGGCTTTGCGTGGGGCTGTTGGGGAATTGCATGGGGGTTTGGGGAAGCGCCTAGATTGGGGTATGCTAGTGACGGTCTGCTTGCTCTCTGGAAAGGATCATGATTCTGTGATGTCATAACATATATATATATAATATATTATATATATATATATGTTATGACATCACAGAATCTAATACTAATGTTGCAACCACAGCCTCTATAATCCTCAACCTGTGTTCAAACCACTGAAGCCTTGGGAGTTCTTAAGTGAGCCCCATCTCAAACTGAAATATTGAAAACCCTCATATTGATCCATGAACAGTTATTCCAATTGTTGCCCGCATAAATGCAGAACCCAGAATAGCAAAGTTATGACCCATGCCAAATATAACTTTAATTAAGTCCTCCATCCGTCAAAACTACAGACCTCCAGACCCCTAGATCAGCTGGACCCCAACCCTGCGACACCCCGGATTCCAGTGATGAACAAAGTAGTCGGTAAACGCAGACTTCGATGATCAGGCATAAGCTAGGCCTATATTTGTGCGGGGCTCGACATCTATGCTTCCAGTCGAGAATCAAGATCTTGGGCAATGAAGTAAACAAGGCTTCGTCGGGGTCATACTCAGGCATGCCCAGTTTCTTGCGGAGCTTGGTTGCTTCGTCCTCAAGCTCGTCTTCCTCTGCATCCCCGTTCTCCACGTC